TATGCTGTAGAACAGGCTTGTTGGCACAGGAACCAGAAGCAGTGAGTAGAATCCATCTTGGGCCCCTCCCTGTATCCCAAGCCAGCTAAGACTCATTCACACCTCCCAGTAGTCCACCCCAGCCCTGTCTCCAGCCATTGTCCAGCTTCATGGGCACAAGGTGTCACTTGATTGCACCCTCTCTCAGGCACAGGTTACAGAAAGCATCAGCCATCGTGCACGCGCAGGAGGCTGCCACTCTGAAATTCCCATCACCATTTAGCTATTGGTGTGATGCCCAAGGAAAATGAGGCACACACCCGGACAGTAGAAATCAGATGCAACATGCCAAGTGAACAAAGCAAATTCCATCCCTAGTTCGTCACAATTGCCATCACTGTTCCACACGCATCAAATAAAAAAGGGTTTGTCTACACTGGAAGTGAAGGCTCATAGCATGGGCAGGCACACCCAGACCCATCTTCATCTAGCTTGCACTGCTAACAGTAGTGTAGATGTGGCAGCATAGGCATTAACACGGGCCAGCAAGCCACGTATGTACCCAGGCTCCTGGCTGACTTGTACGTTGCTTGCCCAGATCTGTCCCCCAGCCACAATGCTATTGTTACCTGTGTTAAACAGATGGAAGCTAGCCTGGGAACACCTATTCACACCTTGATTACACTCACTTGCAGCATCGACATGACCTTTGTTTGTCCACACGCTCTGAGGACTGTATGAAATAGAGGGATAAAGTAGAAGAGAGTTGAGGCCTACGGGCAAGGTACGGATGAGTTTTTGGATGGACAGCAGTCCTATATAACTGGTGAATGAATATAAAACTGTCCCTGTGGCTAAAGCATAACACCAGCATAATTTATAAATCTCTCTCTCTCATAAATAAGTATCACATTTTGAAAACCTACAATGAAAATGGGGAAAAAACCCACAGGTAGATAAACACATAAAGGCAAGTTTTCAGCCAAATCTAACAGGACCTCAAAAATGGTTTCTGAGGTCCAGCTACTAAATGCTGGTATCTTCCAGATCTTAGCTCATACAAAGCAATATGCATTAGAAAAGATGTTGGCAAAAGCTGAAGCTGTCCAATGTGAGCTTTTCACAAAGTTCATAATGTATTGAAGCACACAAACCAGGTTTAAAGCAATGTTTGGATAAATTTGAGACAAAATTCTAAGGTAAAGGGGTTGGGTACAGTGCACGAGACCAGATAGGCAATGAAATGCAAAGAGTAATTGTCACCATAGCAAGACACACCTAACAAGATTGCTAGTCTGAAAGGGTCATTTAAATGCTAGTGCCAACAAACTTGGAAAAGGAACTACGGTAAGTAATTTAGCACTAATCCAAACCCTAACCCTGTAGTGTCCAACATGTTAGCCACTAGCCACATGTGGCTATTTGGTCCGAGTGTGGCTAGTTCACTACTTACTGGCTTCAGAACTGGTTGAACACCACGGACCTAACCCCAGTTCCTAGCAGTTTTTTCTTGAAACTGCAAGCTCATTTAGTGAAGTTATTACATAGCATCAAGCATGCTGTAATATCTAGGCACACCAGAAAAATTGGGGAACATTAACTTAGGATTTCTTTTCTATGCAAACTACCTTTGCATGGCAGACATAAGGGCAATATTCATAGGAAAATGGCGCCACCTAGTCAGTCATTTGAGCAGATACACTCAGGATATAGCCTAGGTGTCCTTGGGAAATTAAATCCGCAGATTTCTTACACAATAAGCTGCAAATGCAGATTTCAAGGATGCAACACCAAAGGCTCAATCCTGCCTTTTGGTGCACTGCATACATCAACACTGATCTTGTAAGTCCAGTCATTGTGTGACCTGTAGATGATTTTCCAAGATAATCAGTAGCAATGTGTGACATACAAGAGGTTAGAAATGAACCCAATCTGCTTCATAAAATCCCTGTGCAGAAACATGCAGTTTCTTAAAACGTGTCTCAGCAGATTTTCAGCCCAGGATCTACCAAAAGGGTCTGCAGTGCCATGTGGGATTAGACGGAAATATATCAGAAGACAGAAATCTACTGCTCACCGGAGCATGACGCACATCCTTATGTTTTCAGCTCGACTCTTACAGCTAGATCAACAAAAGAATCAAGTGCTTCTTTGTTTCATGTTTTATGTTTTATGTCTTACAGCTAGATCAACAAAAGAATCAAGTGCTTCTTTTATTTTTAAAATTAAAGAATCATCTGAGTTAAAAGAACAAACACCTGAATTTTTAAATCTTTGCCCTGGGATTTAAAATTAAAATGTTTGCCCCCTGGCTAAAAGTTTATTGCCAATTTAAAACCTAGTGTTTTTCTCCTCCCAACAATCAAGTAATAAAACCACTGCAATTGAACTGCGCTATAATGGAAGCTGTGACAATTTAGTATTGTTCTGCTACCAGTACCGCTGTCATAAAGCTACCTCTGGGTAAACATTACTGCATTTAGGTGGTTCTTTACCATTGCCAGTTATGCCATCTAGTGTTACAATATAGAACTAGGCCTGTGTATTGTAGGGACTGAAGTGATGTGCGATAGCCACTATGCTGTAAGCAGACGAGGCTGGAAAAATAAAAATTCAAATGTCTCTTTTGTTCAATTTTCCTTCCTCTAAATTAAGTTTTTCTGATTCTCCTTTTGCAAATCAAAGCAGGGGCTTGCAGCCTGACATCAGAACTTTCATCTGCCCCAGCAAACTATTGCAGCTGACAGCAGCACAGCCGGATCCAATCAAGTTACTGTAGGAACGAATGCCGATTATCTAAATCCACCAAAACCTGGCTGCACACTTCACTGTCTACGTTCCATCTTCAAGTTCTTGCTAAGAGGCTAGTTTGCTAGATACCAAGTGCACACATAAGGTGCAAGAATTCAGACAGATGGAAGAAGCCCAAGTCTTGCTAGCATCTAAGGCAGCAGAATTTGTGCATGCACTACATGATACTTCACTTGAGTCTTGCTGGATATACAGCTTGGTTTAATAGAAGAGTTTGTTTTATAGAACCAAATACAAATTGTCATGGAAAAGCCAAAAAAATCAATTCTAAAAGCTGAAGCTTCCTATGTTATTCTCCAGCGAGGGTTAGACATGTACCCTATGGGGTCTGTGGGTCCTGACCCAAAGACACAGGTTTTTGGATTAAGCCATGATTCAGTATCACACTGCATCAGATTTTATAAAACCAACAGACAGAGGTGCAGACATGAAAAACTTACAGGTCAGTGCAAAAAAATCAGTATGTATTTTTTCACGAGGAGATTGGTAGCAAAAATAATGGAGCTAAGAAAGAGAAGACACAAAGATTAACTGTTAGCAGGTATTTACCTGCATAATTCATATTTGTACTGTACAATGCACAAGAAACCCTCCCTAATAAACAGCTTATTCACCCAAAAAGCTGCATATGACTGTCACCCTCAGCTCAATAAGACAAGACCCACTGCACCTCTAGTGATCAATACTTGGCATACATATGCTGATTACCCTTCCAAAGTGCTGTATGAACCTCAATTAAGGGGAAGAAAATGAAGGACAATATATTTAGGCTATATCAATGGTTTTGAATACAGAACTAGTTGAAAGAGGAGATGCGTCCTAAAGCTGTCAAATCACTGACAACCAGAAAGGGCAGCATTTTCTTTCCTTTGTCATTTTAGTTTTTCAAGCTAGATCCATCCTATCTTTGGACCGTTTTTAAAAACAAAACAAAAAACCCACCACCACCCACCCACCACGCCACAAGTAGAAACTCCCTTCACTCCGAAACCCCCTTTTGGATCTTTGTCCAGAGTAGAGTAAAGAGGGTATAAAGCTCAACTTGTTCCCCCTTTTGCAGGTACACAAATGCATCTTTCCTTCACACCCTCAAAGAGTCACTTCCAACGTTATTGCAGTGCCACCGACAAGACACCAAAACAGACTCTTCCGTTTCCTAAACATGAGAACGGAAAAGGGAGAACAGGCTGGAATTCTTAAAATCAACACGTTTGTTTTCAAGCTCTCTACTGAGCAAAGGTTAAAGAGCGTGGGATTACCCCACAGGAAGACATTTCCAAGTGCATCTTCCTGAGCTCTCACGGGGTTTTTGCATTGGGTGGGAGCAGCGTACCATCCAAGGTCAGGGAGTCTGTGACCAAGGGGAAATTTAAGCAGAAACCTTTAGAGGCAAAGTGTTTGGGTTTTTTTTTTTTTTTTTTTTTTTCTGCACTTAAAGTGCCAGAGTGGGGAACAGCCTGGACACATGCAGAAAGTAAATAGGAAAAGTTGCCATTTGTCTCCTCTTGTAATAATTGAAACCTTACGTGTTAACTGGAACAAAAAAAAAAAACAGGACTATGTAGCACTTTAAAGACTAACAAGATGTTTTTTTAGGTGATGAGCTTTCGTGGGCCAGACCCACTTCCTCAGATCAAAATAGTGGAAGAAAATTGGTACGACCATATATACCAAAGGATACAATCAAAAAAATGAACAAATATGAAAAGGACAAATCAAATTTCAGAACAGAAGGGTGATGAGGGGGGAGGTAAATGTCTGTGAATTAATGATATTAGAGGTGATAATTGGGGAAGCTATTTTTGTAATGGGTAAGATAATTAGGGTCCTTGTTAAGACCTAGGTGTAAAGTGTCAAATTAAAGCTTGAATGATAGTTCAGAGGATAGTGATAGAAATGGAGCCGTGTTAGTCTGGTGTAGCTGAAGCAAAATACAGGACTCTGTAGCACTTTAAAGACTAACAAGATGGTTTATTAGGTGATGAGCTTTTGTGGGCCAAAGCTCGTGGTCTGGTGTTAAAAGGTCTTTGAAGCAGGATGCAGGTAATCAGGAGGCAGACTGGCAGACAGAAACATGGTGTTACAGACACCATCAAAGTATCTTGGAAAGTCAACTCTTTTTTTTAACATTACCATAGAAAAGGTGAAAACACACAAATTCAGGTTTGAAAATAACTGTTTATCTTCTAGAAGTTATGTCCACTGCTTACCGTGGCTGTAACTTTATCCCAGTCTGTTACAAAGGCACGAAATCCTTCTCCAAACAATGTACCTGCTGTCCTGCAGAAAGAAAGCAGCAATGTAAGCTGAGACATTAGGGTATATGGCAGGAAAGAGGGAAGGATTTTAAGTTTTAAGGACAGAATTACAAGCATTTTACAAGATTACTCCAGTTTCCCTGATTACTTTCTTCAGAACTATTCAAAACTAAAAGAGTTCATTCAGGAATCCAAACATGCAGGGCAAGTATATGTATAACAACTAGAAGATTTACCTGGCAGTGTTCCCATACGAATCGTGTGGAGGTAAGGGGAGCTTAAGGCCCTATGCCAAAGGGTGCCTGGTGGGTGGAAGGCTTGGGGCTGGTGAAGTCCCAGATGGGGAGGGCACCCCCCGCCAGCCCCCCTTTCACTTGTCTGGTGATTCTGTCTCTTTTCTGTAGGGTTTTATGAGAAGCAATCCTATTTCAGGCACATCCCATTTTCCTTGCACAACCAAACCCTACCTTTGCTTTCAGTTATGATAAAAGGAGGCTGCGTATCTAATTTGGTGGTCCTAGTTCTTAACGTTTAGGAGGAGTTCTTGAACAAACAAACATGTAGACATACAAACAAATATGGAGCAGATTGCCTGGTGTATCTAGGATTAAATCCAGAAGAGTTTCCAGACCAAAGCTAATATGTTTATTTTTCACTCATTTCATTAGAGTTGAATGGTAATAAAATTTCATAATTACTTTGCCATTCTTTAAAAAAAAAAAAAACAACACACCACGAGGAGTCCAGTGGCACCTTACAGACTAACATTTATTTGGGCATAAGCTTTCGTGGGCAAAAACCTACTTCTTTAGATGCACAGGACTCCTTGTCCGTTTTGCAGACACAGACTAACACCCCTCTGATATTTGCCATTCTAGACACCATCCAGCCAAGAATCTCAACGGACTTTATAAAAATCAAAACCAACACCCTCATGAGAAGTAAATTTTACTTTTGTTTTGTAGTTGGGGAAAACAGCCTCAGAAATTAGGGTGAAACCTCTTTTCAGTAGAGCCAAAGAGCATTGCCAAAGATTTCCACAGAGCCAGGATTTCACCCCAAAATGACCAGGTTAGTCATGCAGTCTGTTAGGGTATGTCTACACTACAGCGCTAATTCGAACTAACTTAGTTCGAATAGCTTAGTTCAAATTAACTAACGGATCCAGACTAAAAAACTAGTTCGAATTAGCATTTTGCTAATTCGAACTAGCATGTCCACACAGAGTGGACCCTGAACCAGGGTTAAGGATGGCCGGAAGCAGTGCCGGCAGGGCATCAGATGAGGACTTAGAGCGTGGAGCTGCTGTCTCAGG